GTTGTTGTAAGGTCAGCTTAGAGGGAGGGTGCCCAGTGTGGAGGTGAGGTGAGCCAGGCTCACTGAGCTTCAGGGCTGGGGCTCGGCCCTGCTTCCCCTCCCCTTGGTCCCCTGTCCAACGTGGTTCAGTCACCACTCTGGCATCCTGAGTTTCCTTCCATATGGAGAGTGCCAGCCATCCACACCCTGCATCCTCTCCCTTCAGTGTCAGGCACTCCCCTCTCATCACTACCTGTTTGATGGGTGGGTTTGTGTAATTTGGTTTGTGCAATTTGGGTATATCTTGCTCACTGGCGCTGGACTGGAGGGACTCAGCTGGATCCACAAGACCTGCCAGATCACCAGGTGTCACCACCACCTAGACCCTACTGGAAGTCTTTTCCAAGGCCCGTGGGGGGTGGGGGGTGGGGGAGCTGTTTGCCTGGAGACGCCAAGAGCACACAGCAGGAGAGTCCACAGGACAGGCCCACAGAGTCCAATGTCTCTGCACNGCCAAGAGCACACAGCAGGAGAGTCCACAGGACAGGCCCACAGAGTCCAATGTCTCTGCACAATGGAGAGACATTAGCACCTGCAGGCTCATACCTCTGGTCTCTCCTGATAATATTCCACTTTGCTTTGATAAGGGATGTGATGTTGAACTAGAGGAGTGCATAAAAATCCACTGCAGAGGGCAATTTTTTTTTTTTTTTAAAGATGACCGGTAAGGGGATCTTAACCCTTGACTTGGTGTTGTCAGCACCACGCTCAGCCAGTGAGCGAACCGGCCATCCCTATATGGGATCCGAACCTGGGGCCTTGGTGTTATCAGCACCACACTCTCCCGAGTGAGCCACGGGCCGGCCCAGAGGGCAATTTTAATCAACATAAATATTCTTTTCAAAATGTGCTCCCAGGGCTGGCTGGTTAGCTCAGTTGGTTAGAGCACGATGTCAAGGTCACGGGTTCAGATCCCTGTACTGGCCAGCCACCCAAAAAAAGTGCTGATCAATTGCAGTTCCTGGAGATGGGCTTATGCTTTGTCTGCTCCCATGATGCTGGAGGACATCAAAAAGCCAACTATCTCATAAGGCTCTTTGAGGCACACAGATGTTCTGTGTTATCTGTCCTGTTCTATGTTATCCTGGAGCCCAAGGGAGGTTACAGCAACTAAGGGAGATTCCCAGCTGTGCAAACAGTGAGGCTAACACTGAATGAAATGACATCACGCCTCCTGCATTGTGCTGAGTACACAGCAGGCACCCCATAGATGACGGTTCCCTTCTGCTTCCTCCTTTTGCCTGAGAGTAAGAACGTTGCCCGGGTCCTCTCAAGATGTGACGTACCTACCTGGGATGGGAATTGTGTGCAGGGGCATCACCTCCACTCCGTGGACTGGGTACCCAAAGGGGAGGTTGGGCTGAGCCAGCAGGGGCGGTGGGCGGGGCAGCCCTTCTCTGAAGGAGAACAGAAGCGTTAGCAGCTGCCCTGATCACAGTTCCTGGTTAGTTCTCAAAGCAGTCCTCTGCATAGAGCCTTGCCCTGCCAGTGCTGAGAAATTGGAAGTAGACCGTCCCCGTCTCCCCTCCACTCTCTCCCCACCGCCTTTATGTCCGCACGTCCCACAACCCCTAATTTCACAACGTTCTGAGGCAGTTCACAACAAGCACAAAAAAATAAAAACCATGACCGACAAAAAAGAAATTAAAGTATCAGACCATAGGGACCAATCCAGCTGCAGTTACTGAACACCAAAGTCACATCTGAACTTGCTGGTAGCCAGGGTCTAGAGTGATTGACAGTCAGTACACTGTCCAAATTATCAAAAGGGAGCAGGAAGCCAATACCCGAAAAGAAGTGAAAGTTCCTAGCACTGAGCTAAAAATTAATCTACATTACAAGAAACTTTATATGGGAGTGGCTGTTATCTCGATATTTTTAGAACAAACACAGTAACTATTTTCACATGGTTTTGTTGTTGTTAACAACACAACCCGCATAACACAATCCAGTGAGATGGAGTCTTTTAGGGACTAAGGTAACACGGCTGAAACGCAGCCTTCAGGGATTCAGTTTAACCAAGGATATCACTTACATTACCTTGAACAAAGATTAGACTACCATAGTGAATATTTATGGGAATATGAAAAAGACAAATTTTAAAACGGAAAAGGTCATAAATAGGCAATTAACAGAAGAGGAAGTACAAACAGTAATAAACTATGAAACATGATTGGCTTCAGTATCAATAAGGGAAATGTGAATTTAAAAATCAATGAAATACCTTTTTCATTAAAGTTTTAAAATTTGGTTACAGCAAGAGTTGATTAGGGTGTATGCAAGGTACTACACCCACCCAATCTTCATGAAAGAGTGAATTCATAGAGGCCTTTTTTTGGGTGGGGGGCCAGCTGGCTATGGGGATCCAAACCCTTGACCTTGGTGTTTTAACACGGTGCTCTAACCAACTGAGCTAACTGGCCAGCTCAATATTGGATTTCTTGAGAGAAATTTGGCAGTAGCTATTAAAAGTTAAAAAAAAGTGGGGGTGGGAGAAGTTAGTTTGGGAGAGTTAGTAAGTAATATTTTTTGTTGGGGGAGAAGGGGTGGGCTGGCAGGTAAAGGTATCTGGATCCTTGACCTTGGTGCTATCAACACTGCGCTTTAACCAACCGAGCTAACCAGCCAGCCCCTCATGTACTACTTTTTAATTGAAGTATAATATGGAGCTAACACACAGGATCAGATTGACCAATCAGATTTAAATGAAGCAGAGATTTTACCCAGTATTAGGCTCCATTCATAATTTCAGCCATATAATTAATTAAGAGGCACAGACATCCTCTAAATTGGTCATCCTATGTGGATCCCCAGGTCATTCCTTCCCACATCAGACATGTGCCCTCTGGCAGAGGATAACAGATGTGGTCTTCATGAGTTTTTGCTGGGTTACCTCACATAGCATATAAATTATGAAACATCTCCATTTTATACCCCAGAGAGTTGTATAGCTTATATGACACTTGACAGGAAGCCAAAGATTCTGGGTTATTCTTTACTGGAGACATCCTGCTAAGGGCAGTGCCAGTCTTCAAGGAACCCCTAATCAAAGGAAGGAGACAAGAGTCCCAGCCCTGGGAGCACCCAGTCTAAGGGAGGAGACATAGCCTCTGAATGCATAAAACTTCCAATCTCATGGAGGACAGCGTCGCTCTCACAGAGCCCCTGGGCCCATGGGACAACTATAGTCCCACCCACAGGCTCCATCAATCAGATAGCAGTGTCAAGACACGAAGCTTAGCTAGGATTTGGGAATCCCTACAGAGCTGTTGCTCAAGAAATTAATGCAAGGCAGTGATTTTCTACCTGATGGGTTGTGGCATGGGGAAAGGGAAATAAGAGGCTCTCTAAAAGGGTTTTCTCAAACTACACAATCTCTTCTACTACCCAGTCCCCAGCTTGGCATCCCTGGAGGAATCATTACTTGCTGGTACCGAGGACTCATCGAGTGGCTTATTACCCCAAGTGTGCTGGGACAAAAAAACTTTTGGGAACAACTGATACAGGCCAATCAAGTTTGTACTTGCTGAGAGAGGTAGGTTTCCAACCTGAACATGCTAAATGAAACTCGGAGGAAGAGGGTGTGTAGGACAAAGAATGTGGAAGCAATCTTCTGTGATTGGTGTGCTTTGCTAAGAATGGGACTGGGAGGATCTGGGACAGGGGCATGGTTAGCTGCTGAGAGTATGTGTCCACCCTCCCGGCCTGAGAGCCAGCTGGTCCCTATCAGCTGATACTTACCAGAGATGAGATGCCTGAGCTGTGACAGCTTGGCATACACCTGTCTTCCCAGGTAAAAACCCAGGTATGAGTTCTAGCCATCCTACAAGCTCCAGACCTGCCCCAGTCCATCAAGAAGCCACAAAATTGTAATGGTTTGCAAAGGATTGGCATGAACTGGCAGATGGAGCTTTTCTCTCCAAGTGTAGTTACGACTTGGGGGGCAGGGGTCCCTCAGACCGAAGGGGAAAAAGTGAAGGTCTTGAGCCCTTGAAGGGTTGGGGTAAGGAGAAAGACACCTTTATTCCCCGAGTGGAATCTTTCTTCCTGAGCATGGGGAAGTGAGTAACAGGAAACTTATCCCAGAGCTGGGGCCTCCTGAACACCCCTAAATTGGTAGCCAGAATGTTAGCTACTGCATGAATATTTGTGCCTCAGTGACTGGGCTCAGCCCTCTGTCCACTGGTAAACTTGGACACTTCGTGTGAAAGGGACTCATAAAGCAAAATCTTGTGTCCCCTTGCCTTCATCTGGGGACGGAGGACACGCAGCCCCTAACATATGTATGTGGTGGCGTGCTGGAGCTGGCTTGCACTCACTCATGAGAGCCAATTGTTGAATTTTCAGAAACTTTGCATGCCAGTTGCTAAACACAGCCATTAACGTAAAAATACATACACCAAAAATTAAATATAAGGTAATAAAAACAAAGGTAATAAACATTCAAAACTCATCACTTCCTAGGTATACTATTATCTCTGTCTTTGAGGTTGTTTACATCTCCTGTATGTGTAGGGTAGAGATATTATACAATGGTGACCTACTGTGTATTTCTTCCCAACTCCAAGTTCAGTGACAACACGTTGGAAGCTTGAAATCAGCCAGGGTGTGAGTATTTACACTATGGAACTTGTCAAACACTACAAACCATATATAAACACAGCTACACACATACACAAATATTCACCCCACTTAAATAGTTTTTGATTCCACTTATGTAAAATGTCCAGAAAAAATGAGTCTGCGGAAACAAGACTAGTGGTTGCATAGGGCTGCAGGTGACTCTGGTCATGAGAGATCTTTTTGGGGTGACAAAAATGTTTTTTTTTTTTTTAAAGATGACCGGTAAGGGGATCTTAACCCTTGACTTGGTGTTGTCAGCACCACGCTCTCCCGAGTGAGCCACTGGGCCAGGTAAGGGGATCTTAACCCTTGACTTGGTGTTGTCAGCACCACACTCTCCCGAGTGAGCCACTGGGCCGGCCCCTGCATCTTGCTTTTTTAACTTAATAAATAATAGGGTTCCTTCCCCATTACTGTATCNTATGCAAGGTACTACACCCACCCAATCTTCATGAAAGAGTGAATTCATAGAGGCCTTTTTTTGGGTGGGGGGCCAGCTGGCTATGGGGATCCAAACCCTTGACCTTGGTGTTTTAACACGGTGCTCTAACCAACTGAGCTAACTGGCCAGCTCAATATTGGATTTCTTGAGAGAAATTTGGCAGTAGCTATTAAAAGTTAAAAAAAAGTGGGGGTGGGAGAAGTTAGTTTGGGAGAGTTAGTAAGTAATATTTTTTGTTGGGGGAGAAGGGGTGGGCTGGCAGGTAAAGGTATCTGGATCCTTGACCTTGGTGCTATCAACACTGCGCTTTAACCAACCGAGCTAACCAGCCAGCCCCTCATGTACTACTTTTTAATTGAAGTATAATATGGAGCTAACACACAGGATCAGATTGACCAATCAGATTTAAATGAAGCAGAGATTTTACCCAGTATTAGGCTCCATTCATAATTTCAGCCATATAATTAATTAAGAGGCACAGACATCCTCTAAATTGGTCATCCTATGTGGATCCCCAGGTCATTCCTTCCCACATCAGACATGTGCCCTCTGGCAGAGGATAACAGATGTGGTCTTCATGAGTTTTTGCTGGGTTACCTCACATAGCATATAAATTATGAAACATCTCCATTTTATACCCCAGAGAGTTGTATAGCTTATATGACACTTGACAGGAAGCCAAAGATTCTGGGTTATTCTTTACTGGAGACATCCTGCTAAGGGCAGTGCCAGTCTTCAAGGAACCCCTAATCAAAGGAAGGAGACAAGAGTCCCAGCCCTGGGAGCACCCAGTCTAAGGGAGGAGACATAGCCTCTGAATGCATAAAACTTCCAATCTCATGGAGGACAGCGTCGCTCTCACAGAGCCCCTGGGCCCATGGGACAACTATAGTCCCACCCACAGGCTCCATCAATCAGATAGCAGTGTCAAGACACGAAGCTTAGCTAGGATTTGGGAATCCCTACAGAGCTGTTGCTCAAGAAATTAATGCAAGGCAGTGATTTTCTACCTGATGGGTTGTGGCATGGGGAAAGGGAAATAAGAGGCTCTCTAAAAGGGTTTTCTCAAACTACACAATCTCTTCTACTACCCAGTCCCCAGCTTGGCATCCCTGGAGGAATCATTACTTGCTGGTACCGAGGACTCATCGAGTGGCTTATTACCCCAAGTGTGCTGGGACAAAAAAACTTTTGGGAACAACTGATACAGGCCAATCAAGTTTGTACTTGCTGAGAGAGGTAGGTTTCCAACCTGAACATGCTAAATGAAACTCGGAGGAAGAGGGTGTGTAGGACAAAGAATGTGGAAGCAATCTTCTGTGATTGGTGTGCTTTGCTAAGAATGGGACTGGGAGGATCTGGGACAGGGGCATGGTTAGCTGCTGAGAGTATCTGTGTCCACCCTCCCGGCCTGAGAGCCAGCTGGTCCCTATCAGCTGATACTTACCAGAGATGAGATGCCTGAGCTGTGACAGCTTGGCATACACCTGTCTTCCCAGGTAAAAACCCAGGTATGAGTTCTAGCCATCCTACAAGCTCCAGACCTGCCCCAGTCCATCAAGAAGCCACAAAATTGTAATGGTTTGCAAAGGATTGGCATGAACTGGCAGATGGAGCTTTTCTCTCCAAGTGTAGTTACGACTTGGGGGGCAGGGGTCCCTCAGACCGAAGGGGAAAAAGTGAAGGTCTTGAGCCCTTGAAGGGTTGGGGTAAGGAGAAAGACACCTTTATTCCCCGAGTGGAATCTTTCTTCCTGAGCATGGGGAAGTGAGTAACAGGAAACTTATCCCAGAGCTGGGGCCTCCTGAACACCCCTAAATTGGTAGCCAGAATGTTAGCTACTGCATGAATATTTGTGCCTCAGTGACTGGGCTCAGCCCTCTGTCCACTGGTAAACTTGGACACTTCGTGTGAAAGGGACTCATAAAGCAAAATCTTGTGTCCCCTTGCCTTCATCTGGGGACGGAGGACACGCAGCCCCTAACATATGTATGTGGTGGCGTGCTGGAGCTGGCTTGCACTCACTCATGAGAGCCAATTGTTGAATTTTCAGAAACTTTGCATGCCAGTTGCTAAACACAGCCATTAACGTAAAAATACATACACCAAAAATTAAATATAAGGTAATAAAAACAAAGGTAATAAACATTCAAAACTCATCACTTCCTAGGTATACTATTATCTCTGTCTTTGAGGTTGTTTACATCTCCTGTATGTGTAGGGTAGAGATATTATACAATGGTGACCTACTGTGTATTTCTTCCCAACTCCAAGTTCAGTGACAACACGTTGGAAGCTTGAAATCAGCCAGGGTGTGAGTATTTACACTATGGAACTTGTCAAACACTACAAACCATATATAAACACAGCTACACACATACACAAATATTCACCCCACTTTTAAAAACACAAATGGTAGTATACTATGCAAACTTTCTGCATCTTGCTTTTTTTTTTTTTTTTTCCCTAAAAGATGACCGGTAAGGGGATCTTAACCCTTGACTTGGTGTTGTCAGCACCACACTCTCCCGAGTGAGCCACTGGGCCGGCCCCTGCATCTTGCTTTTTTAACTTAATAAATAATAGGGTTCCTTCCCCATTACTGTATCTAGATCTACCACATTCTGCTTGGTGCCTGAAGCTTTGTCCTTAGAACTGCTCCTCTTCCCTCTGCCCAGAGCCACACCTCATGTCATGCCCCATTATTTGTTCATTTCCTGACTGCCAGGCCCTGTAGAGATGTCAAGCCCATTCCTGGAGGGGGATGGGGTCACCCAGACCCAAGCCCAGACACCAAAAACTAGAATGCTAGGCCATCTGTTCAGTGCCAGAGATACAGACAGGCTTTGAATGTTGCCTTCTTCTTGAATATTCCTTTCTCAGTTCTCAGAGCTGGAAGCTGCTCTCCCTCCTAAGACATACCATGTCACTCTAAGTCCTATTAGAACACCGAGCTTTGAACTCAAGTGCCACACAATTTGCTGAATACATTCTATGACCACGGACTGCCCAATTTCACTCAAATTTAACACTGGATCCCGGCACTCTGTGTAATCATGGATGCCCTGATTGTAAACTCTCTATTACACTGTAAGCTCTTTGAGGGTGTTTCATCAGCCGAATGAGAAAGAGTTGAGGCACTGGGGGAAGCTGAACGTCTCCTGCCCGTCTGGCGTGGGACCCAGTTCACATTCATCATTGCCGTTGTCGGGCTCCGTTTGCTGTCGTTCATACCTGTATTAGCTGGCATTATCCCAAGAGAGCTGGGCACTTCACCGGTGAGGAGGTGCCGGTGAGAACGTATCCAGGGCCTCCTCCAGCTCCTTAGACTTCCTTGTTCCTTCTTATAATTCCTTATAATCAGTTCCGTCTTTTAATTCCTTCTGCCAGCTCCTTCGAGACCAATGTCCCTCCCAACAGTCAACGCCTCATGTCCTCTTGTCCCTCCTCCACCCTCCCCAATCTCACCCTCTCCACCTCTTCAAGCCCCTCTCCCTGGTCCCCCTTCCCCCAACAGGTGCCTCCTGCAACTTACACACCTGAGGTGTTCCCTGCTGGAGGACAGACACAAAAGCCATCTTCCTACACTTGTCTGTGCTTCTTCTCACACCATTTGCTTGTTCCACACACATTTATTGAGACTTACTCTGTGTCAGCCACTGTGCCAGGTGCTTTGAGTCTCTGGCTACAGAGACCTCATGGAACAGTGGCAAAGAGAGACCAGGGGAGGGACAAGCAGTAGGAACCGTCCCGGCAGGAGGCGGGCAGCCGGTGCTATGGGAGGACAGGTCCTGCCTGTGGTGAGAGCTTATCACATTGATTCATGGTTCTCTCTATACCTTTCTTATCTCCTCTGCTATCCTATAATCTCACCGAGAACAGGATAATCACGATGATGGTGACGATAAACGATTGTCCTGACAACTACAAACCTGATACAGTTTTAAGTCCCTTCCATCTATCAACTCATTATACACTCACGATAGCTCTAGGAGGTAGGTACTATTATTATCCCCACTTTCCAGAGGAGGCTGAGAACTTGCCTGAGGTCCCCTAGCTGGGACGTGGACGCTGCAGGACCTGAACGCAGCCAGTCACTGAGCCCTGCTGCTCCTCACACAGCTAGGTGTGCCAGGGTTCAAATGCAGGCCAGAGTCCCCTGTGTGTTCCACTGGCTTTCTCGCTTTTAACAACACCCCCTTCCTGTTAGTGCTCCCGTCTCTCTTCCGGGGAGCCTTACATTTGTAGGTAGTTGCGGGGTAGTGGATGATCCCAAAAATCAAACTCAGAGGGATCTGATTCGCCCTTTCTCTTCCTTTTAATTTATGACTTAAGCTTAGTCAACTGAGCACTGAGGCGGTGATCCGGGCACAGTTCATCACAGAGGAAACGACAACATGGGGACCAGATGGCTCTGAAGGCTGTCTAGCCCTTCAGTGCTCCCTCGGTTCTTGCCTGACTTTCCAGCCTGGTCATTCCGCTACCTGTGGATTTGGTGAGGCCCCAGCATCCTTCCAACAAATTCTCTTTTGATAAAGGCCAGCCAGAATCAAATTCCGCCCTTTTCAACCAGCAATCCCAGTTGATACACTCTGAGTGTTTATACCCCTTTTAATAATAATAATAATAAAGTGATACAGAGAGAGTCATAGCAGTGATAGCAGACAGGACAGTATATTCTCAACATATAAATGAATAAAACACTGAAACTTGGTGATGACTACAATGTCACTTGCTACTGTGACCTGGGTGCAGGGAGGCTGTGCCAAGGGACATAACTGGTGCCTCAATTCCCATTCCTTGGTTTATTTTTAATAGTTCCTCCCAGGGACCTCTG